TAAGTTATGTTATTTAAAGAGAAAGATAGACACAAGGAATGAAAATTATGGAAGAGAAAGTGAGTGGTTTTTTTATTTATTTAAATTTTAAATAAAAAAATATTTTCTTGTGTCTATCTCTCTCTTAAAATGACATAACTTTATGTCATTTAAAATGACAAATATTTTTTCCTTTATTATTTTTATTTACTATTCAATTATTTTTAAGACACTTTCATAATATATTAAGGGGAAGGATATTGTAACAACCAAGTTGTGTTATTACCATGTTACTACCAATCAATCCCATAGTAAGATTGATTATGTTGATCCAACGGTTATATTTATTTTCATCTTTGTATGGTTATGATTCCCCATATTTAAAGTGAAAGCATTAAATATGAGAAATCATAACCATACAAAGGTGAAAATAAATATAAAGTATTAAATTTGAGAAATCATGACCATACAAAAATGAAAATATATATAACCGTTGGATCAACATAATCGATCTAACAGATTGATTGATAGTAACATGGTAGTAACACAACTTGATTGTTACAATATTCTTCCCCATATATTAATAACCAAAATTTATAAAAGTGATTATAATTCTATGCAATTTTTCAAAAATGAAAAAAAAAATCTCAACCAATATAAGATAGTTAATCTATGACAAAATAAAATTTGTGGATATATTCAATGAATACAAACCATTGAATCATGAACTTCACTTTCCGTAATTTTTAAAATTATTTATGCTAAAAAGTTTGGATAGTCTTTCAAAAATAAAATAAAATCATGATATAGCCTTTTTTGAAAAAAAAAAGCTATTTGTTTAAATTTTAAAAAATTCTAAAATGATTTTTTTAATATTTTTTTATCTTTGCTGAAAAATTTCTTACCATTATAATTTTTTTTAACGTTTTTTATTTAAAAAATAACCAATATCAAGCTATCTGCGTTATAGATTCATTCATTTAATAAAAGGGAAATGCATTTTAAATGGATTTCAAAAGTTGATAAATGCCGCTGCGAATATACCCCGAAATAACATAAAATAAAACGTTATGATACATATTTTCAAATGTTGACGCAAACTATTGGTATAATTTTATTTGGATTCAAGTGAAAATCATAAATTAACTAAAATTATTTTTATTCTAGTGATTAAGTTTTTAATGAGTTGGCATTTTACAAACTTCATCATGAAGTCAAAATATGCATAAAGTTTGTCATAGTTATACAAGTTAATGTTAATTCGAATATATTTCACATCCTATCAGTTTATGTTAAAATTAATAGATAATATAATTTCCTTTTAAAAAATATATATTGTGCTTGATCACGCGCTCTTAAAACTAACGCATTTATGTTTAACTGCTTTAGTTTTGTTTGATTATATGAATTATTTGATACAAATTGATAAATGGTTAAAAATAAATATAAAGCTTCTTATTCTTACACTTTCAATTTTAATTATTAATTTTATTTATATCTAATGATTTTTATTTATTAGATACGTGAATCATTATATTAAGGGTAAAGTTTGTATTATTTTAAACGATGTAAATTTATGTCATTTTAAGAGAGAGAAAGAGATAGATAAAGAAGAAAAGAGAGTTGACGAAAAAAATAAAAGTGTGTGTCCCACTTTTTTGTGAAAGTGAAAGAATATAAGTTATGTTATTTAAAAGATAAACACTTTTCCCTTGTATTAAACACATCAATAATCAATCACCAAAATTTGATATAAAACTTATTAGTTATATTTATGTAAGAATAACTTGTCCCTAGAGGTTACAATGTCACATGATGAATCTTTGATGGTATTCAGAAATTGGAGTTGATAAGACATGTAATGTATGTGGTGGCAAATATTTTGGTACATGTGCCTTTGGGGCCAACAAACTTAACCATACGCATACCATTTGCAACACTCACGGAAACCTTTGCACTGATTGAAGTATATTCGTGACCCCCCTTTACACTAGAAAAGGAAATAGAACGGGGACCCCTAAATCCCATCACCAACTAACTCCAAACACAAAATGTCAGTGTGTTTTTGAGTTTTTTTTTTTTTTTTTAATAGTTATCGTTTAAGATTTTATATTAAAATTAAATAAGATATTAAACATTTTTAGTTTTTAAAAAATATAAATGCATTCGATTAAATTATTATTTAAATTTAACTTAATAAAAAATGAAAGGAAATAAGTAAATTTTAATTTAATATTTTTTTTATTTTTTAAAGTAATAAATAGTTTATAAAAATTTGAATTCTTAAATAATATTTATTTTAAAACCGACATAATATATTCATGTATCTATAAGTCCATGAATACTTTTGAAACACGTGCTTATCTGAGAGTCAGCGTAAACTTTCAGAATTCGGAAATTGTGTCATTTAACCAATTATGTTTTTTTTTTTTCTTACAAACAAAAAATTTATATTAGGAAAAGGAACACTCATTGACATTTCTCCTCTGTTCTTATGCTTATAACTTCACGATGTGTTTGATACAGGGATAAATTTTAAATTATCAGGAAATTTACATTGGAAATATTACTCATGTTTGGTATAATAATTTTAAAAAATTTATAGAAAAACAAAATTTCTGAGAATTAAAATTGTGAATAAGAATACCATAAAATAATATTTCCAAATGGATGGTATTATTGGATTCCCACTTGTTAGAAATTTTTTACATAATTTCTAGGACATAAATAATTTTGCTTTAATATATTCATGACTAAAATACCCTCTCTTAAATTGTTTTAATCTTTACTTTTATTTTTTTCTTGTTAAAAATGGAGTTGAAGCTTTGAGGTCATAACACTCCGACGGCTGATGACTAGGTTGCACAAAAATAAGGTCTCAATTTTCAGGCCTTTGTTTGGTTTTCCAAGTTGTAGAAGCAGCCCTTTTGTCTTTACGAATTTGTTCATATTTCTATTCTTAAATGGTATCTTCCATATAATGAATAACTAGGGATGTACATGGGGTCGAACCGAACCGAATTGGTTTAAATGGTTCGGTTCGAAAATGGTTCGGTTGTAAACGGTTCGGTTCGATTCAGAACCGGTTTGAGTTGACCCTATTTTGAAAAGAAAAAAAAAATTAAAATTTAAAAATAAAGTTATAAAAATTAATTCTATTTGGTTTGAAAACGGTTCGGTTCGTTTCATGAACTAGTTTTTTAAAAATCGGTTCGATTCATGAATTGATTTTTAATAACCGATTATTTTAAGGACGGTTCGGTTCAATTTTTTGGTTATTTTGCACATTCCTATGAATAACAATGTTCGTAAGCACAGTTGCTAGATAATTTGGTTCCTTAGACATGTTGATAGGAATTCAATTTCAAGTTATGTGTATAGAAAAAAATTTGTTTGGAGAACTTTACCTATTTAATATGATCTATTGTCTCGAAAGGATTAGTCTTCATATGTAGACTAGATGATACCTTGTGAAACCAAAAAAAAGATGTCAGACTTGTTAAAAAGTATTTTGAGAGAGAGAGATGGAAACACATGTGTGAACATTGTACCTCAAAATATCTTACTTCATCAAATGTTATTTTTGTAAAATCAGCCCACATTTCTAAAAATAATTGACAATCAATTAAACATAAAATCAAGAAACTTGAATCAATATTTTTATAATATTTTAGTCTATCAAATAATTTTTTGATAATATTTATAAAAAAATCACTTTCTCAACATATTCCTAAAAATCATGATTTTCAACAATAAAAAAAAATTTCTCGCCCCGTAAAAGGTAGTCTACGGAGTCAACTAGACAGTTCAACTACAAATATAAAAACACCTGAGTAAAATTGTTCAAATTCATTTTTCAGCAACAATTTCCTTTTATGAACCATCTGTGATCCTATGTTTTTTTTTATAAGTAGGGTTATATTGACAAATTTATTATGTCTGATCGGTAATACACTACTCAAGAATGTATTACCGGTCAGACATAGTAGTTTGTAAACAAAAATTTAGTAAATATAACCTTCCTCTTTTTTATAATATATTTTATTATGAAGTGTTTAAATTTTATTAAAAAAATGAGTGATGTAGGTTGGACACGTAATTTAAGATTTTAATTTAAAATTATTTTTAATCATTTATCATTTAAGAATTTTAATTTCTTAAAAATTTTCTTATTCTAGCTTAGAATAGTATTATCTTATTAAGATATTTGATTATGTAAATTATATAAATACGATTATCTTATTAGGGTGTTGATGATACCAACTAATCTACATCAAATGGTTAATGGTCGATTCGAGTGAGAGAAAGAATAGGCCTAAAGTGATCTATGTATTTTGGGCCTAAAACCTTGTTAGATTGATGCAACAAATGGCAATTCAGTGTAGGCCAATTTCTTTATTGGCCCGTGATGGGAGTCTCACTTAAGCTGGTATCGTATATTTGTATAAAACTTAAGTCTCTTATTATCTACTCCTAATTACAAAATTAGAGTTTCAACTTGAAGACCAAAGAAGAACACTTTGTGTTGCACGACCAAAGAAAAAGATTTAATGTTGCAAGGTATGCAACTTTCGATTAAACTTTGTAAGCTTGTCCTTACATTAGAATCAGGCAACTTTTTTATTCCTAAACTTTTATTTTATTAAAATAAAAAAAATTGCAACATTCAACATAGCTAGCTCATAATTCATGGATTGTCTATGTGTTTAGGGAGCACATCTTTGGTATTATTGTAGTATATACTCCTTTACTAAAAGTAGAAAATAATTATGGTTTAAGGAAAAATAACCATACAAGAAAAGATAAAATAAAAAAAAAAAATATTATTTTTTTCAAATTAAATAAATGATACAGTGAGTCTTCAGTATTTTCATAATTCTGAACATATTTCCTTATTTAGGAAGTCAGGTGTTTAGAATAAAACAACAAATGAGTTTAACATTATTACATGGCTTGGTAACTTTGTCAATCAATTTTAATTTTCCTCTTTTTATTTATAATCCTACAAAGCACACCTTCATTCATTGAGTCTCATCACACCATTCATTGCTTTCGATCTTCTCTCTGATAAGAAATTTCTGTACCTTCCCAGTTGAACTAACAGGCAAATCCTCAAAGATCACATTCTTAGGAACCATATGAGTAGCCAAATGATCTTCACAAAACTTGATGATATCTTCAACAGTGGCACTACAACCATCCTTCAATGTGACAATTGCACATGGTGACTCCACCAAGCACTCATCATATCTCCTCACAACAGCTGCTTTCAAAACATTTGGATGATTCAATAACACTGCTTCTACCTCTAAGGAGCTCACAGCCTCTCCCTTTGAATATATAATATCTTTTGCTCTATCCTTCAAGTTTATTGAACCATTGGGTTGCCTAACAGCAAGGTCCCCAGTCCTATACCATCCACCCCTAAAAGCTTCTTCAGTTGCTTGTGAATTCTTAAAGTACTCCAGCATCAGAGTATTCCCTTTGAACATAATTTCCCCTATTGTTTTCCCATCATGAGGGGTGCTCTTCATAGTCTTTGGATCTTTCACATCCTCTTCCATCATAAGGTCTGGAAGCCCTTGTTCACCATAATTCAGCTTTGTATATTCATCATCTGAATTGGGTTTCCATCGCCTTAGAATGACAGGACCTAGAGCCTCTGTCATACCATACCCAATGCTCACATCAAATCCAAGTTCTGATACCTTATTGAGAACTGGGAATGGTGGTAGCACACCTGCAACTGTGACATTCACCCTGAGAGGCAGAGGCCTTTGGTCACTGGGCAATGAATCTGCAATGATTTCCAAAAGGGTTGGTGCACCACACAAGTGAGTTACTTTATGAAGGTGAATTGCATCAAATATGTCTTTAGCAGTGACATTTCTAAGGCATATATTGGTGCCACCAAGAGCAGACATTGCCCAAGTGAAGCACCACCCATTGCAACGAAACATATCAACTGTCCATAGGAACACTGGCATTGGTTTCATGTCAAAACGAGAAATTGCTGCAAGTGAATTAAGATAAGCACCTCTATGACTATAAACAACTCCTTTAGGAGTCCCGGTTGAGCCTGATGTATAATTCACTGATATAGGATTATATTCATTGCTTGGTATTAAAGTCTCAAAATCTGGTTCTCCATTTTCAAGAAGTTCATTGTAGTTTAAGGTACCTGGTGGTATATCTTTCACTAAGAAAGATGGTTTTTGGTCATAATCTAGTATTAGGACAATGAGGGGTGGCTTGCATTTTCTTTGGGAGATTATTTCAGATGCTTTGAGGGCAGAATCAATAAACTGATAGTCCACAAATATTACTTTGCAAAACTCTAACTGTTCCAATATAAGTGCCAATGTTGTTACATCCAATTTGGTGTTGAGAGCAGAAAGAATAGCACCTGCCATAGGAACACTAAAATGAAGCTCGTAGAGAGCTGGAATATTAGGTACCAGAGCTGCAACCTGTTTATATACATGAAAGAAAGTTGAAGTCTTCATGAACGTAACAAAACTTTTTATTGTATAATACACAGTTTCAGATAGGAGTTTGGGGTTGAAACCTATTTTTCCCTCAACCAATCACTATTATTAGGTAAGCATAACATTTCAAGTAGAAAATAAACCAATAAATTTGTAAAGTAATGTTAGAAAGCCAAAATATTTGACAGAATAAAGTAAAAAATCTTCTAAATTCAATGATATAGTTAATTATTTCCTAAGTAATGACACTACAGAATTAATAATAATGTCAAGTCATTAAACAAAAAAGTATTAAAAAAAATGTAGTTATCTAAATCTTCTATATTCATATAGGAGCAAATATCCTTTTGAGTCCCTAACAAAAAAATACGATTTCCATTTTAGTTCTTTATAAAAAAAATTAATCTCGAGATCCCTAAGAAATTCAAAATGGACCTATTTAAATGAAATCGTGGACTCTCACAAATTCAAAAAAGATCCATATTACTCCGGACTAAAATGGGTCCACTTTGAATTTCATAAGAACCTGACAGGAAACAACCCAGCCAAAAAACTACAGAACAGAAATTGTTCGAGGCCTACAAACAAACGCTAAATCAGCCATAAAAATAGACTGAATCTGAAAAGGAGGATAACAGAAAACAGACATATCAGGGACGGAAGGATAGTCCAAAGGATAATTTGCTAACCAATCAGCACAATGATTTCCTTCTCTATAAGTGTGGATAAAATGAACTCTCCAATCCTTTTGAAGCCATGCTCGTATGGGAGCCACCAAGTGTGATTCACGGGCTACAACACCATTCTTAGACAGAATGATGATTGCAGTTGTTGAGTCAGACTCAACAATTAGATTTTTCCAACCTTCCTCCCAAGCCATCTCCAAACCTTTGAGAATCCCCCAAAATTCAGCATTGAGAGCATTACAATTACCTATCCTGTAAGAGAACCCTTTGAGCCAGTGACCCATGTCATCTCTAGCAACACCTCCACAAGAAGCTAAACCTTGGGACCTTCGAGCAACACCATAAGTATTTAATTTTATCCAATTATCCTCAGGAGGATGCCAACTAATCAGGATTTCAGCTTTGTGTTGCACTAAGTGAGGCTTAGACATAGCCGTAACTGCCATATGGGATTCCACAGCAACAGCAAGGATCGAATTCCTCTTATAAATGTGGGAAGGAACATCATTACCATATATTACAACGTTTCTCCATTTCCAAATCAGCCAAACAGCATTACCAAACACAATGGACCAAGGGATATAATGATTATACCTGTCCATGCAATCTAAATTCTTTTCCAACCAAGTACCAACATCATCAGTAAAAAATGAAATAGCAAGATTAATAGGAAGCATATCGTCCCACAATTTTTTAGTAGGCAAGCAGTCCCTTAACAAGTGCATAGTGTTCTCTATATCATGCAAGCAAATGGGGCAGTAAGGATTGCCTATATTAAGAGAATTTAGCCTAGCCCTTGTTGGCAATTTGTCATGAATGATTTTTCACAAAAATAATCTAATCACTTGAGAACCTCCCCAAGTCCAAACCTTTTTCCAAATTCCAGAAACACCATCAAGGTCAGAAACCGTACCTGTAAGAGCTTGGTAAATGCTTTTAACTGAAATCTGATCTGAGTTGTTGAAGCTCCATCTCATGTAATCAGCTCCATCAATCTCATTAGGGGGTAGAATACTTTTAACAAGAAACATAACATCAGCAGGAAGCCAACTAGCTAGTAATTGTAAGTCCCAATTACCCTGATCATCAACATACTCCTTTATTCTTTTGTTACTCTCTTCCCACGGAATAGGATTAACCGCCAAGTCCATAAGCCTATTTCCTTCATGAATCCATTTGTCTTTCCAAAAAGAAATATCATTACCATTACCAATCTCCCAATTTAGATGATACTCTAAATTTTTCCAGATAGAACAAATATACCTCCATAGTCTTGAATCACCATTTCTGCAGCTGAATAAGGCATTCCCTCTTTTCTGACCATTATACTTAAACCGGAGACAATGAACCCAGAATTTATCCAGATTAGCAAAGATATCCCAAGCCAGCTTCCCAACGAATGCAATATTCATGTAAAGCAGTTTCTTCAACCCCAAACCGCCCTCTATCTTTGGTTTTGTCAGAACCTCCCAGCTCACTAGATGCATCTTCTTCTTTTCCTTTGTATCTCCCCAAATGAACCCTCTCTGCAGCTTTTCAACTTCATGACAGATTGAGTTTGGGAGTCTATCACATTGCATTTGATAGAAAGGGATAGTAGATAGAACAGACTGAGCCAGGGTAATCCTTCCAGCTTGAGAAAGACACTTTGAATGCCAACCAGTCAACCTCTTTTGAACTTTTTCAACAATATTGGCATAGGCTGCCTTAGATGCTCTACCATGCTTCATCCATACCCCCAAATGTCTCCCTATATTACGCACTCTCTTAAAACCACAAACATTTGTGATTTTAGCTGCTCATCATCTGGAATATTTCTGGAAAAGAAGATACTAGTCTTCTGTTGATTCACTTTTTGACCAGAAATATCACCAAACAGATTCAAACACTTTAGAATAATATTAATCTGATCGACCGAAGCTTCAGCAAAAAGCATTAAGTCATCAGCAAACATCAAGTGAGATACATCAGGACCTCCTTTTCCAGCTTGAATTGGCTTCCAAAGCTTCCCTTGAACTGCAGTATTGATAATATGGCTAAGCTTCTCCATTGCAATAACAAACACATAAGGAGAGAGAGGGTCACCTTGCCTGACACCTCTTGAGGGCTGAAATTCCTCAGACATCCCTCCATTCCAGAGGAAATTGAATTTAGCAGTAGAAATTGCAGCCATAATGATACCAATCAAATTCTCCGGAATCAGCACTTCATGCAGAATTTTCTTAATGAAATCCCAACTTAACCTATCATAAGCTTTTTCTAAGTCGACCTTAATGGCCATGAAGGTCTTTCTACCTTTCATCCTATGCATTGAATGAATCAGCTCCTGCACTATGATTATATTGTCTTGAATATGTCTTCCTGGAACAAAACTTTCCTGAAAGGGGGATATGATCTTATCCATAATGCCAAACATCCTGTGAACCACAACCTTACTCAAAACTTTATAAATGACCGGACACAAGGATATGGGCCGAAGTTGAGTCATCTGAGATGGATTTTGCTCCTTAGGAATAAGAACAAGTAAGGTGGAGTTAATAGTGGCCACTAGATCCGGATTTGTCCATTAGCTAACAACATGCTGATACAACTGGTTCTAAGTTTTTTCCCAATTAACTTGGAAAAAGGCAGCGGCAAATCCATCTATCCCTGGTGCTTTATAGGACCCCATACTAAACAAAGCTCTTTTAACTTCCTCCTTTGATGGAATTTTACTAAGCATGGTCTTTTCCTCAGGAGATATAGAAGGCCAAAGATTTGGAGAAGAAAGCCATCTTCTATTTGGAACCTCCTCAGAGTACAGATTATGATAAAAATTGCAGGCGTGATTTTTAAGCTCATCTGGATCAGTAATCCAATGATTCGGCCTATCCTTAAGTCTCACAATTCGATTGGCATTCCTCCTAATGATTGTATTTAGGTGATAGAATTTTGTGTTTCTATTACCATCAACAATCCAATGCTGCCTAGACTTTTGGAACCACAATAGCTCTTCTTCCTCCAGGACCTTCTTCAGAGTCTGCTGACAATTCTCTTCCATAGTCTTCAATCTGATACTGTCATTCCTAATCCTTTGCTGCTGAATTTTATCCAGGTCTTTCAGGAGCTGCTCTTTTTTCCTATTAATATCACCAAACACCCTCTTATTCCACTTTTGGAGAGTAGGTACTAGCCTTTGAAGCATATATGGGATATCAAAATCCTGATCCCAGTTATCGTGAATTAGAGCTGGAAAAGTATTATGCTGATGCCAAGCTACTAAATACCTAAAGGGCTTTTTCCCTCTAGTATCTTTCCTAGCATCCAAATTCAGCAGCAAAGGGTTATGATCAGATTTCACCCGAGGAAGATGAATGACTTTAGCATCATCAAACTTGAGCCTTCATTGCAAATTTGTTACAAACCTATCCAATCTTTTATACACTCTGTCAAGATGAGCCCATTTGGGTCCTTGCCAAGTGAATGTAGACCCTGTGAATCCCAAGTCCTCTAAATGACAATCATCCAGAATTTTTTTGAATAATTGACATTTTGTATAATTTGGAGGGGATCCACCTTTCTTTTCTGAAGCAGCCGCAATTTCATTAAAATCTCCTCCAACCAACTAGGGTTCAGTCATATTTTTACTAATACTTTTTAGATCATCTCATAAGCAGGACCTCCTTGACTCCCTTGGACTAGCATAAACTGCTGTACAAACAAAGTTGTTCCCGTTGTGAAGAGTTACTCTTGAGTGAATCATTTGATCAGATTGAGAAATTGTTTCCACATTAATCCTATTTGAATCCCACATAAACCAGATGCCACCAGAAAAACCCTGAGCTTCTTCCACATAACAACAATTAAAACCACATTTTTTCATTATCTTTGAACCAGAAGAACTGTTGTCTCTAGGTTCTAAAAGAACAATCATACAGATATGATGACTCTTAACAAGATTCTTCAAAACTCGACTAAACTCTTTATCAGCAGCTCCTCTCACATTCCAGAAAAGAATTGACATAAATAAATCAAGCATTATTTACAGGGTTATGGAGAACCTGTACCTCCAATTCCATTGGCAAAACTTTGCCATCAAAATCTTCTCGGTTTTGTATTGCCTGACCATTATTGTCTTGTTCCATGGCAACACACTTCTGGTCAGGTGGCCTTGGAGCCTGATGGACTTCAAATTTCTGACTATTTCTATGCTGCATCATATCAGTAGGAGGATTATCTTCCTTTGAAGGAATTTGGATTGAAGGGATCTCTTTTGGCTGAACCTCTTCGATGCTTGCCTTCGTGGTTTTCTGCTGC